AATGATTTATATACTTGAAGTTTTTCTATTGTTTCTTTATAGGGATGTTTAGCCATGACTATTTTTGTTAGTGGATGTGTGATTTCGACTGGCTAGTATCTTTGATATTATTGAAGATCTTGGCAGTTGGTTTCTATCTTTGACAAGAGGGGCCAGGCTCGTATTCGGTTGGATCATTTAGTATTTTTTTCATTAGCATATTTTTTCAATAACTTTATGTTATTTCTTTGAATTTCTACATTCATTAGCGATTGTACTATCTTCTATGTTTTAATAAACTTTTATTTCTTGATTAAAAAAAGTACTTGCACAGTTTTTTACAAGATTCAAACTCATAACTATTTTAAAATAAAACATAAAAGGAAATATTCACACCATTAATCCGACCTATTAGGGTTCTTCCAACAATAATCCCAAATATAAGTAATTCCAATATAATCCAATTTATAAGGGGTATCTTCTCAAAATGATCTGGTAACCTGAAGGAATCAGGTCATCAGGTCACCCGCCCACGTGTCTTGTTCTTATTGGCCTTAAGCATTTTAATTTCTTTCCTTTTTATTTCTTTCCCCTTCTAAAACGCAGCTCCCTCAATCCCTCCTCTCAATCTTCCTATCACCTCGCTGCTTCTAGCTCCTCCTCCTCCTCCTCCCCCCAAGAAGATCCACAGGGAAATAGTTGATAAAATCGTCTCCTGTCATTGGCCCGTTACTCGATCTGTAAGGTTTATGGACCGTCCATCATCATTTTTCCTCCCAGATTCAAAGATGAATGCTTGGAACAATGAATCTTTTCTTAGGAAGAAAAGTCTCCAGTGATACATGCCAGATTACTTTTCCTTTTTTATTTTTCTTGTTTACTCTACCGTTATAGCAGGTTGTGGGTAACCCGGATCAATTTGAGAAGACCTCATATTAATTTCAGATTATTTTAGAATAACGAATATTTTGGATTAATATTGGAAGAACACTAATAGTTAGGATTATTCATGTGAATTTTTCCTATATAATTTGTTGATAAAAGCTCTTAAAATTGACATGCCAAATGGCCCAAATATATAACTAGAAACTTGTAAAGACTTTTTAAATAGTTCAAAAGCTAGAAGACGAGGATTTTGCCTGCCAAACATAGCCATGGATAAATTTCCCAAATATTATCTCAATTTAATACTATGAGTAATTTATATTTAAGTATATGAATATGAGTTTGAAGAGGAATGATCCTGTCCAGCCGGAGGGACAGGATATTCCGTTCGGCCGCCGCCATTTGGGGCGGTTCCCAGTGGAGTTTTTTGATGAAATTTTTATGGAATGTTCGTCATCAAGTCTAGTTTATCCACACAAAATTGCAGCTAAAAATTCGATCGGGAAGGCAGTCAGATAATTTTTTGAAGATAACTGCGCCAAATTAAACATATAAAACGCAGTTATGTTTCAAAATATTATTTGACTGCCTTCTCTATCGAATGTTTAGCTGAATTTTTTTGTGGTTAAACTAGACTTGATGAGGAACATTCCATAAAAATTTTATAAAAAAACTCCACCGGGAACCGCCCCAAACGGCGGCGGCCGGACGGAGGATCCTGTCCCTCCGGCTGGACAGGATCTTTTCCGTGAGTTCGAAATACTTATTTATCCTTATATCCCTTCACACATTTAAACAAAGTTTAAAAAATCATCACACCACTTTTATTCTTGAATTCTCTCTTGTCCACTCTCTTTCCTCTCACTTCTGATTTACATAGACATCACCAACAACGTTCCAAGTTAGGAACTCCACAGATTAATATATGATTGATATTCCCTTACACTTGTGTAGCACGATTAGGTGTATGAGTCCTAAACGTGTTACACCGGCCTAATTATAGCATCCATTCATTTGTGGCTCCAAATTACCATCAGATGCAAGTATGCAACTGCTCCGTCTCATACCTTTTAAGGAACCATTTATCCTTACACCCATTTTAAGCCTAAATTCTTTTGCCAAAAAAAAAAAGCCTAAATTCTTCGTCTCCAATTCCGGATTTGTCAAATCTAGATTTGGACAAAATTCAAATTTATATGGATGTCAAAAGTTTAAAACACTCTGAAAATATATGATTTGGTTTAAGTCATTTAACACTAATGAAGAATAATGTTAACGAACGGATCGGATGAACGGATGGAATCCAAAATAAAAGGAAGCGTTGAAAAATAGATATATTGAACCATAAGGTGTTTGGTTTGTGTTAAGTTGTATTGTTTTTATTTATATTATACATAGATATAGATTTACTCTGGGGAGTGACCGGGAAAATGGAAAAAGCATACTCCGTATTATATTTCTTTAATTTGAAGTATATATGTACTACGTAATTTTTAAGTTCCAAATTATATTGGATCCAAATAGGGAAATTCTAATCACAGCCATGAATTTACTAATCACAGCCACCGAATTAAATTTAAATAAATAAAATTATTTCAAATATCTATTATGCCCTTGCACCAGTTGCACGTATAATACATTCCATCGACTGAATACTCTCTATTTACGCAAGCTAAGAGCCGCAAGCCAGAGCCGTCACTCGTCAGAGAAGACATCGATCATCTACCGTCGATTGTTTTTCGTTCTCTTCTCCTTCAGTCATTAAGGATTCCAACCTATGTATTGATTGCTCTAATTCTGAAAATTATAAGTTTCAAATTATTTGAATAAACCCGTAAAACATATCACAGCAAAAATCAGTTCTGACCAACGGGGCGACGAGAGTAATTGTTGAAAATCAGTTAACTCTCTCAAATCTCAATCTGCATGAAGTGACTCCGACTTCACATTTCAAAAGAAACTCATGCTATTTGAATTTGAAGGGGGAAAAGATCCTGTCCATCCGGATGGACAGGAAGCTCCGTCCGGCCGAGGCCATCAGAGGCTCTTCCCAGTAGAAATTTTTGATGAAATTATTTGAACATGTTCTTCATGAAATCTAGTTTATCCATACCAAATTTCAACTAAAAATTCAACCGGGAAGACACTCAAATGATTTTTGGAAGATGGCTGCATTTTATTTGTACATAAAATGCGCAGTTAGCTTCCAAAAATCATTTGACTGCCTTCGTGATTCAATTTTTAGCTAAAATTCGGTATGGATAAACTAGACTTCATGAAGAACTTGCTCAAAAAATTTCAGCAAAAAATGCCTCCGGAAAGGGTCTCAAATGGCGACGGCCGGACGGCGGGTCCTGTCCCTCCGGCTGGACAAGATCATTACTCTTTGAAGGGTATAACAGGAATATAAAAAAAGTACTACCTCCGTCCCATATTTATCTTCATAGTTCGGTTTACGATGCTTGACTGACGATAAAGCAACTCGATCCCTGTGCACACTCGGAATATTTTTAGTATATAAAATTTACATATTCAGAAACTACATTAAAACCGCTACAAAGCCTGATCAAGAAAATTTAAGTTTGATAAAAATTTGATATATAAAGTAAAAGATTAAGAGTAATTTGAGTTGACCATGTGAATAGTAACTATGAAGATAATTTTGGGACGGAGGGAGTACTTATTTTTTACGGAAGTGTGTGTGTGTTTAGCAAATGTAAGGTTGTGTTTAGAATTACCCATCCAAATATCACAAGAAGAATGTTATGTTTGAACGGTCGGGTGGGAGAAGACCCGGAGCCTTCGGCTTTTGAGAATATATTTGAAAATCCAAATTGGTTTATGCCAATATTGTAAATGCTTTGAAAAATTAAATTATTTAATTGGTTTCTTATATTAAAAGATATGAGGTGTCAAAAAAAAAAAATAACTAAAAATCCAAATAAATACCCCGATGCCAGAAATTTTTAATAAAAATTAAAAAGCAATCAAATGATTCGGTTTATCTAGATTAGATCGATTAACCTTATTAAGAATGGTTTTATATGTTTTTGATAAGTTTTCTCCACAATGTAAAAACGTGACCGGTGCATACGTAGCGAGAGATAACCAATTATAAAACAACAAATAGAATATATCTTTCCTTATTTGAACGATCTTATATTTTTTTGTAAATTTTTCTCCACAATGTCAAATATAATTTTCATCAAGTTTAATGGAAGAAAAGATTTTTATCAATCAAGTTTAATTTTCATCATTGGTTTAACTAACCAAGGAAACATACAAGAGTTGGCATTATTGACCGTTTGAATTGTTACATTCTCCTCATCTTATTATAAAGTTTATTCGATGAATAACACAATACAGATATAGACTTAGTAGAGATGGGTAGGAAGTCTTGGTTCAATGAGGTAAGAAAGTGGGAATTTAGGGTGAGTGCTCAAGCCATAATTAAGCCTCTCCCATCGAAACGTCTCCTGGCTTCATATCTCCAGGCAATTTCCAATTAAACCCATGCAACAAATTTGCCAACGTTGCCTGCACAACCTTCAATCCCAGGCTGTAGCCGGGGCACATTCTCCTGCCTGATCCAAATGGCAACAATGAAAAAAGTAATTGGGAGTCCTATTTTGGAAATTAAACTTATAGTCCTACTTTAGAGTTTTAACTATGTTTTAATCTTATTTAGGACAATTTCTTTTTAGTTATCTATCCTAACTAAATAATCTTGAAGCTAGAAAAAATCCGTAAGTAAATGTACAACAATTTTCTCCAACTAAATGTGTAGATTTACTTTCATACGAATTTAGTTACGGATAATTGAAGTGGCGTCAACTTTTTGGAGGAACTCCAAGATACAAAAAAGTTGTTACAAAATCTGCAACTATTATCTACAAAAAAAAATCACAAGAAATATTTATAGCTATTTTCAAGTTTTTTAGTAGTGGGTTGATTAGGCGCTCTAGACGGGCAACTAGACGTCATAGGCGGCCGACTAATTCACCTAGTCGAAAATCGGGGCGCCCGGCCATCGCCTAGCGCCTAGGCGGGAACTAGTCGGACGCCTAGAACAATTTTTAGAACATAGACTAAAACAACTACAAAATTCTTCTCTAGATTTAAGCTAATTTAAGGGTAAAAAAAAGGAACATGTATATCTTAATATAATTGATGTATCAATTAATGGAAGAAAAGATTTTTATCGATCAAGTTTAATTTTAATCATTGGTTTACCTAACCAAGGAAAAATACAAGAGTTAACATTATTGATAGTTTGAATTGTTACATTCAATTCTCCTCATCTTATTATAAAGTTTATTCGATCAATAACACAATACAAAGACTTAGTAGAGATGGGTAGGAAGCCTTGGTTCAATGAGGTAAGAAAGTGGGAATTTAGGGTGAGTACTCAATCCATAAGCCTCCTCCATCGAAACATCTCCTGGCTTCATATCTCCAGGCAATTTCCAACTAAACCCATGCAACAAATTTGCCAACGTTGCCTGCACAACCTTTAATCCCAGGCTGTAGCCAGGGCACATTCTCCTGCCTGATCCAAATGGCAACAATGAAAAATCTTTTCCTTTTATGTCAATATCACTCCCCAAAAACCTCTCTGGTAAGAACTGCTCAGCTCTCTCCCAATACTTTGGGTTCCTTCCAATAGACCAAACATTAACCACAACAAGAGTCCCTTTTGTTACCTCGTAACCGTCGAGGTTGCAATCTTCCATGGAATAATGTGGAAGCAGTGTGCCCAGTGGATGCAACCTGAATGTTTCCTTGATGATGGAGTCAATGTATGGTAAGTGTGAAATGTCATTTTCTTCCACCCATCTCTCCCTCCCAATAGCTCTGTCGAGCTCTTCTTTGGCCTTTTCCATTACATTTGGTTTCTTAACCATTTCTTGAAAAGCCCATTCCACTAATCCCGTTGATGTATCTGTTCCCCCAGCAACAACATCCTACCCAATGCGTGTAATAAGAAAAATTGTTACACACACTTATTAAAGATTGATAATTGATTCGTTATAATATAAGCTTATTAACGGAGGAGTAGTTTGAAATGTTAAATCATGGTCCCAAACAGGTGTCGTTTGAACATTATATTTTCTGAAGCACGCGTACCTTTCAAGTCTCAACTCTCTTGTATATGAATCTCCATGTCATAAACAAGTATGCACAGGAAGCAATTCACAAATTGTACATGTGTATGTGTGAGTTTATATAGTTTAATTAATAATTAACTTCCATTCAGATTTAGGCACTTGTTTATTGAGTCGTTATTCAAGTCGATGCAAAGATCTTTAAAACAATGATTTTATTCAAATAATGATGGAAGCATAAAATTACCGCAAATATTTAAGAGATAAATATTATGAGAAAATTACTAGGAGTATGATTAAATGGAGTGATGATGATGATTCATAAATTACGACTAAATAATTTTTTATTCTAAATTAATTTTGTTTAGCGTGTATGATATGTGTTTTAATGCTTTTTTTTACCATCAATGTAAGTAGGGAAAACTATAAATTTAGTACTCGTACTATGATGAAAAAGTCACTTAGATCCTCACACTTTAAAAAATCACATCCCTGAACTTTGAAAAAACTTTCAATTGGGTCCATTAGCATGTTACCTCTTTCAATTGGGTCCATTAGCATGTTAGCTGTCATGTTAGCAGGTCACTCGCTGACGTGACGCATATGTGGCTATCCACGTGTGTGCCACATCATCCGGAATCGGCTGTCCGAGATTCCACTTGTGCACCATGTGGTAGCTTAGAGCATCTCCAATGCTATAATGTGCACGATGCACATGTGGCATGATTGATAGCCACATAAATATTACCAAATAAATTATCTCTCTCCTTATTTGAATGATTTTATACAATTTTGGTAAGTTTGTCCCTGCAATGTCAACAACAATGTCAACATCTAGACGGTCTCCTTGACATTGTGGAGAAAAACTTACCAATACTGTATAAAATCATTTAAATAAGGAGAGAAAGAATTTATTTACTAATATTTATGTGGCTATCTCTCATGCCACGTGTGCACCGTGCACATTATACCATTGGAGATGCTCTTAGGCTATTCAGGAGTGACTTTGCTGACATGGTGGTCAATAAGATATTTTCACATTAGACGCCTATATGATTCCAATAATATACTACCTCAGTCCCGCTATGTTTGGGACAAAGGGGTATGACACAACTTTTAAGAAAAAAGTGGAATTGTGTGGTTGATATTGAATCGATAAAGTGTGAATAAAGTAAGAATGAATTGTAGCCACCCAAATATTACCAAATATGGTATGAGACAAACTTAGTGGGACGGACAAAAAAGGTAAACGAGACAAAGTTAGGGGGACGGAGGGAGTATTATTTATATATACATATATAAAAAAATATAAATATACACAATATATATAGTAGCATTCAAATCAAGTCAGCCTAACGAGGATAATATTTATATATTGACCGAAAATGATGTTTGATGGAACGTAGATAATTAAAATGAAAGACTATTTAGACTGTCATGTTAGCAGGTCACTCGCTGACGTGTTGCATATGTGGCTATCCACGTGTGTGCCACGTCATTCAGAATCGGTTGTCCGAGATTCTACGTGTGCACCATGTGGTAGTTCAGGCTATTCAGCAGTGACTTTACTGACATGGTGGTCAATAAGATATTTTCACATTAGACGCCTATATGATTCCAATAATATATTACTCCCTTCGTCCTGCTAAGATTGTCCCATTTTACCTTTTCGGAAAGTCTCACTAAGATTGTCTCATACCAAATTTGGTAAAGTTTGTGTGGCTCTAAACCATTCTTACTTTATCATTTTAATATCAACCACACAAACTCACTTTTCTTAATAACTGTGTCACTTTCTCATGTCTCAATCTTAGTGGGACGGAGATAGTATTTATATATACATATATAAAAATATAAATACACACAATCTTTATCTTTATACATATATAGAGAATATGGTGGAGATTCAAATAGGAATCCATTTGAAGTCAAAAGAAGTGAAAAATTGTTATCACTATTAATGAAGTAGTATTCAATATCTCAATAATTAGTTACAATCAATGATTAAGTACAAACCTAATTAATGTTGTAAGTTATTAATAATCAAAACATTAGCAAATTGAGCATAAAGACATTGAATATAAATAAGAATATTAGAAACAGACACACGCATAATTAATTAAGCGACATAACATATTAAAGTTAAAAACTAAATATTCTAAATTTAGAATATAAAATAGAGTATTACATTGTATTCAAGAGTGATGAATTTGGAGACAAATATTTTATAAAGGACAATGATTATAATTAGTAACCCCTAAAATGTGGCCAAATTGCTTGGATGTGAAATATAAAGTATAAAAGTAAAGACTAAGTAAATCCAAATTGGTTGATGCCAATATTGTAAATGCTTTGAAAATTAAACTATTTAGTTTCATAAATTAAAAGAAATGAGGTATAAAAAAAAACTACAAATCCAAATAAATACCCTGATGCCATAAATTTTTAATGAAAATTAAAATGCAATAAAATGATTCGGTTTATCTAGATTAGGTTGTTTGACCTTATTAATTGAGAACGGTCTTATATGCTTTTGGTAAGTTTTTCTCCACAATGTCAAGCATAATGTCTATATATAGACATTGTGGTTGACATATTGAGAAAACTTACTAAAAACACATAAAATTGTGGAAAGAAAGAGAGAGAAATTTCATAAACTTAATCTTTTGTGTTCATCTCTCTCATGTCACATGTGCACCGTACCGTTCACATTGTCGTATTGGAAATGCTCTTAACTTGTTTAACATAATGCGTACACCTTGATAACTTTTTGGAATTTTAGCCCATTATGAAATTATTAATCGAAATTGAGAGATTAATAAAAGTTCAAATCAAAACATTGAAGTTTGGATGACTGCTTAGTAATTTTAGTTTACAATTTGATCTGAAAAAGAAGAAGAAGATTACATGACTTCACCAGAGAAAATGCAGAACAGGAGTGTGGCTACCAGAGAAAATGCAGAACAGGAGTGTGGCTGCGGTCGGTGGCAGAGGAAAAATAACAGATGGGCAGGGACGGGGCCACATGTAGAGTTGTGGTGTCAATTGACACTATTGAAATGTTTCTTTTTCATATATATATGTATATATAATTTTTAAAAAATTAAAACTTGACACCACTGAAAAAAATAATCTACATTTAGGTATATGTAATCTTTTAAAACTTTAAAATTTAATCGACATAACCATTTAATAATAGAAGATCAAATCATATGCAAAGTTCAAAAATAAGACTAAGTGACATATTAGTTAGCTATCTTTGATTTTTCAAGTCAAAGATGATTTATTTTGTAACAATTATTTTAACTAATATATTTATCTAAAATTTAATAATTTTATACTTTAATGATAGTGTGTTTGACAAAGATTTTTTTTATATATCATTTTGATATCATCAAGTTTGGCTTGCTAAAATGGGACGGATGAAATATCAAATATGTACTCCCTCTGTAACACTCATATCTTCACTCTTTCTTTTTTTAGCCGTAACATTCATATCTTCTCATCATACCCTCAATAATTTTAAAATAATACACCATTACAACTACGTTTTTTGGATTTATCCTTCATTCCAAAACACTAGTTCATTATTTTCTCATCATATACCCTCAATAATTTATATCTCCTTTTATTATTCATAATCACCTACTTTTCAAATGGAAGATATATAATTAAGGGGAGTTTGGAATTAATTCTGTTTGCCCTTCCTTTTAAAAGTAGAGCAGAATTAGAATCATTTAAAATTTGTATACCCTAACTTCGAAAACTAGCTTTAAGAGCAATTTAGAATAATCCAAAAAATAAAAACATGTTTTTTGTACAGCAATATTTGTGTAAGTACGCATAGGTGGGTGGGTACGCACATGTATTAAGGCCATGATGCGATGACGGGTGAGGGCAACCTCTGACTCTTCAACATTTGGACCATCTGCTCGCTGTAGAAGACCATCAATCAATCCATTGGGCACAAAATCCTTCCCGGCGGCTTTCATCACCGCCCTGTGCTCCTCTATCACCGGCTCCAGAAACTGCTCGTACTCCTCGCTAAAACCTTTCACTCTTTTCTCATAGCCTTGCAGGTCAAAGCGGCGCAGCCATGGAACCCAATCCCCGAGATTGATGACCAACGCGTCGAGTCGAAACCATTCATCCACAAGCTCACTCAGCCTCTTCATATCGATCGGCGTAGTTCTCAATTCCCTCCCGTCCCCTGTTTTGAAACATTTCTTGTGATCTGAAAGTAGCCTTCCTGAAATGGAATACGTCAGTTTTGACAGATGGTCTCGAAGCAGGACCGGCGTAGTCGCCACCGCCGCCGCGTAAAGTCGAGACATAAGAGCCATTCTTTCCTCAACCCGGACGTGCTCGAGCGAGTCAAGCTTCGGAGGCGCGATGAGTTCAGAGATTAGAATCCTCCGGCCCTGGCGGAGCCAGGGCCCGTAAGAAGACCAGAACAGTTCGCCGCCGTCAAAAAGGCGCGCAGCTGCCGCGGATGTGCGGCGAGAGGCAAAAACGGCGTCGTGCGTTTTCAGGACCAGTTTGGCAGTTTTGGGAGAGGAGGCGACTAAAACAGGGGTGGAACCGAAGTTTATTAGCATCAGCTCTCCGTACTTTTGGGACAGAGAGTCTAAGGATTGGTGTGGGATGGAGCCGAGGAGGTTCAAGTTTCCTATGATTGGCCATGGCTTTGGACCCGGCGGAGTTTTCCCTTTTCGTGCCCGTCTTTGATTTATTATGAAGAGAAAGGCTATGGCGGCCAGCAGCCATGGCAAGGCCGCCTGCTGTTGAAGAACCAAAGCGAGGAAATACTTATAATTATAGCTCATGATCGACTAATGGATAGATGGCCCTTGAAATGTTGATCTGGTGTTCTATTTATAAACAAAGGGCGACACCTAATCTGCAACACTAGCGGAAGTTAATTAAAAAGATGTAAATTGAATTTTAATAAGAAGCTCACATATAACGAGTGGGTCTTATGCATTTTTACATATTAATGTATCGCCGCAGTTTTCAAAATGCAAACATGAAATTTACCATTTGTGTCACCCTTATCTACTAATTGAGCTATCTGTCCGGGATGTGTTGCATTTACAGATATCACCGTCCGGAGTACCTGAACAAGAACCGCTAGAATGAATGGTTTTACATTTCTAGGTATAACTACTCCTTCAAGAAGTTTCAGAATATGCTTATGAGGAGGATTAAGAAAGGCAACATTCGTGGGAAAAGAAGAATCATTACATAGTAAAACTTAATGGGCTAGAACTAAATGTATTAGAAGGAAGGGTTAGAATGTGAGACTGAGAACTTACAAAACTTGATTGTTAGTAATATCATTCAAAGCACGGATTGGGGAAGGAACCGCATTTTTCAGTCCATTTCTTTCAGATAACCAAATGAATCCATTCATTCCACCACTACTGGGGATGGGAAAAACCATCCCATGTATTTGATATGTATGGAGTACTATTTAGTAGTGCTTAAACACCAAATAAATCCATCTACTTTCACAAAAGTCAATTAAATCCATGCACTTTAAAATGAATCAATCAAGTCCACAAACTGTTAAAAATACATCAAATTGGCTATTTACTCGGTAATCATCCGGTAACCCTTCTCTGGCTTACATGGAAGTCTAATTGACTCTTTTACCGTTCATATTTTTAATTATTCATTTTATTTTCCTTTTCTTTTTTCATTCTCTCTTTCTTCTTCACTCGTTCATTTTCTTCTCCTGCTTCGACGCAAACTACTCCTGAAATTCGTTTCTTCCTAAATCCAGACTCTATTTCTTTTGAAAGGCAGCGGGCGGCGGAGGTTCACAAAGATGAGGGAGACGGGCTGAAGGCGACGATAGTTGGGGATGATGTGGGAGACGGACGGCGGTTGGAGGCTGTTGGCGGGTTGAGGAAGATGAAGGCGATGGGCAGAGGTGGTTGGGGAATTTGCGGACGAAGGGCAATCGGCGACACAGATCGAACTGTAGTTGTGGGCGACAGGCGGTGGAGGCCAGAGAGGTGGGCGGTGGGTGATTGGCGGCGGATGGGGAAGTTTTGGGCGCCGGCCGCTGCGGAACAAAAATCATGCAAGAAGTGTGCTACGACGGACGACGATTGGTACCCTTCTATGAAAGAAAGAGAACCGGAAAGAATGAATGAAAAATTGAAAGAAAGAAATTAAGGAAGAACAGAAGAACTGTGCCGGTCGAATGCAAAGTGCAACCCCAGGGGAAGAAGAAGCTAACAGGGAGAGAAAAAGGATAGGAAAAAAACAAGAGAGAAAACAAAAAATTACGGAGTATAAATTATCCCACGTGGGCGTCCAAGTGAGCTATAACCGGCATTACCTCCATTCAACCGGCTGAAGTGCTAATTTGGTCATTTTTCAAGAGTTTGTGGACTTGATTGATACATTTTATAGTCCGTTGACTCAATTGACTTTTAGATAAAAGTAGATGGACTTATTTGACAGTTTTCCCTATATATTAAGATAATACGGAGTATTTATCTTCTTAAATAATCTTTATCTTCTTAAATTTAACTAGAATTCGAAGATATATATTAAGATAATATTTTGACATGTAAGAAAGAAATATGATGAAAAGAAGAGGAAAGAGCGTGGGAGAATAAGGAAGGAGCATTGGAGACAAGAGGAACCGTCATCGGACACAAAGAAATGTAAAAAAAAAACTGATTTGATATCACACCCGACTGGGTATATGCAATACCCGATTGTGTATGATTTGACCCGGAGATCATATGAGATCAAATAAAGCAAGAGAACATGGGAAAATCAGACTTTGTCTTATACCTGATCGGGTATATTGACATATCTGATCGGGTATGACTAGATTTCAACACTTTCGTAGTTATTGCCAAGGATACCCGGTCGGACATCTGAAATACCTGGTCGGGTATCAGACTCAACCACCTCATTTCTCCTATAAAAACACCCTTTTTCTTCCCATTTTACACACCAATCAATCCCTTCTTTCATATAGACATTATTCTTGTATTTTAGGTAGTCTTTTGAGCTTGATTTTGCTATATTGAAGCTTGTGATTTGTTAGTTGTGGGTTATTTCTTTAATCTTCCTCTCCTAAATATTAATTACTTCCATATTCATATTTCATATTCATATTTCAGCATCACTAAATGATCAATTAGTTGATGTTTTCATATTAATTATTACTATAATCGGTCAATGAATACGCTTGTTATTCACTTGGTCCTTTCATAAGTAGTAAACTTATATTGTTATGCATGTGTCTCATGGTTAATAATGTAAGAGAGAGTAATTATAAAAACCGCTTGTGAAGTTGTCAATCTTAATTGATTTCAACAGAATACAAATGAATAAATTAGACAGAATAGTTAGACCTGAGATTCTCATTGTGACAGCTGAGAATATTCACCTCGAGTTACATGTTATCGTTCTTAATTTATTTTATTAAATTGACTGAATGCTACTATTAATATCAACATATGCCGTTTGTTATATATTGATTAATTATTAATAAGGGTTATTAATTCCCTAAATAGGACCAAAACAGTGAAAAAGTGCACAAATAGGACTTCCATGTTTCATAGGACTAAAGAACACTCATTTAACAAAATTAACCTTAATGAAATTGTAATCTATTTACAGTTAAAAATAAAAATAAAATACAAATGTGAAACCCTAGTTTCTCTTGCCTCTTCCAGCACAATCCGCACAGAATGTCGCCACAATCCCTGCTGCCGCCGTTGCTCCAGCCACCGCCCCGCCGCCCCCCACTTCCGTAGTGCCGCCACCGCTTCAGGCACCACCGGGCAATTGGCGCCAGTTTTGAAAACAAAAAATTGTCATCTTGCTGCAAAAACACCATTTTCCATAGTGCCGCTACCGCTTCAGGCACCACCGGGCAATTGGCGCCAGTTTTGAAAACAAAAAATTGTCATCTTGCTGCAAAAACACCATTTTATCCATATAATAAGAATGAATGTAATAATGGCACTTTTTTTCTTCAGTTTGGCAAACGTAATAAGAATATTTTCTGCCATAAGATTGGAAATACATCCAAATTAATGTTAAAAATAAAAGTTTTTCTGTCACAATATAATTTTCAATATTACATGAAACTGCCAAAAAATTGGCAACATGTACAACACGTACAATCTTCATTATGAACCCAAAAATCAACATGTAAAGTCTACACAACACTAGATCGATCGGACTAGATCAAGCAAAGAATCAATATATGTCAAGATCATACCACACCAAGCTTGTTATACGGCGGTCCAGCTTAGCTGACCGCAGACTCACTCTCCATATGGGAGGTCTCGGATTCGAAAATCAATGGAGTGAGTTTCAGCCCAGTTTACTTCAGGCCCCCCAGAGTCCCAGACCTCATCCCCCAGATGCCCCCTGGAGTAAAAAAGAAAAAGGAAAAAAAAATAGGTAATTCATACTCTCTTCCCACCCTTCCATATTATCTTCCCGGCCATTTGTCATTATTCATTTTAAGAAGAGTCATAAACATGTAGTCGATATATTAGTTTTAGGGGCAGGGGCGGATCTAGGAATGTGAGATGCCCTGGGCTGAATAGAAATTATACTAGGCTTAAACATTAGCGGGGTGGGCTAAATTTGAAAAATGAAAAAATTTACACTAAAAAAATCGAAAAATTTCTAAGTTGCCCTAGGCTTCAGCCCACCATAGCCTGTACATAGATCCTCCCCTGGTTTTAGTTTTGTTTAAGTGAACTACAACAAGAACATATATATCTCAAGACAATTAAGTATCAATGGAAGCAAATATTTTTATAGATCATGGTTAATTTTCATCATTGATACCTAACCAAGGAAATATACAAGAGTTGACATTATTGATAGTTTGAATTGTTACATTCTCCTCATCTTATTAATTATAATGTTTTTTTTTTTTACTCCAGGGGGGTCTGGGGGAGGGGAGCTAGGGGGAGCCTGGAGTCATATAGGCTGAAACTCACTCCATTGAGTTTCACACCCTTGTGTGCCTAGCAGGATTCGAACACGAGACCTCTCACTAGGCACGATAACCTCGCAACCAGCTAGGCTGGAGTGCTTGGTTTATTCAATATCACAATACATATATAGACTTAGTAGAGATGGGTAGGAAGTCTTGGTTCAATGAGGTAAGAGAGTGGCTGAAGTAAGACTAGGGTTGCAAACGAACCGAATCGAGTCGAATAATTAGATTTTGTATTTGTATTTGTTTAATTTTTTTGAATACGAATTCGAATTCAAATATGAAACGAATATTAATTTTGATTTGTATTTGTATTTGTTTAACAATATGAATAGTTAACGAATCATATACGAATATCGAATCTATTTGAGCATATGTTAAATATTAGTCAAATATCACTTTAAAATAATTTTTCTTATATTCCGTATTTTTTATGTTGTAGATGTATGATATGACTTAGGATGTTTTTACTTGGACTGTAATTTGTCCAGACCAGACCAGATCAGCCCAGTCCAGACCAGACCAGACCAGACTTGGGTAATTAAAAAAATACAAAGAAATCAGACCAGACCAGACCAGACCAGTTCAGACCAGATCAGATCAGACTAGACCATGCAGACCAACAAATTACAGTCCAAGTAAAAACGTCCTTAATATGTGTTTTTAGAATTTAAATTTAATGGAGCAATGCATTTTTAGATGGTGCACAACATACTAAGTGAATTACTTTTATGATTAATAAATATAAATCTATTTCAAATTTTTTGAAATAAACACTAATAACACACATATATTAGAAATTATACTTATATTGTGTGAAATAAGTTGATAATTGTATATATCAAAGTCAAACAACTCTAATTTTATTCTTCAAATCGAATACATAATTATATGTTTTGTATTTGAAAGACATTTGAACCAAAAAATTGATTTGTATTCGTATTTATATTATGGTTTATTACAAATGGGCTTGGAATCCATATGCAAAAATGTATATATGGCTTCACATTGAGAGTATTGCTATCTTTTAAAAGTTATTATAATGTTATTACTATTATTATTTATTAATGTTGATATTAATATTACCATTATTATTAATCGAATATATTTGATTAATATTCGAATCGAATACACTGGTATTCTTATTTGTATTTGATAACAACTCGAATCAAAATCAGAGCGAGAGTTTCTCTCTATACCTTCGAGCCTCCTAGGGCGTTCACGCCGCTAGGTTAGTTTTGTCCGATCTCGACGCTTGTTGAGGATCGCGAGTGGCAGGGTAGGAACGAAGACGGTTAACAAGAGTCTCTCTTCGATCGGCGGAAGGAAGAATCCGGATGGAAGATTTCGTTGCTTCGTACAAGAAACTTACGATGAACGAGCAAGAGAACGAGTTGAACTTTGGCGAGGACACAGCGGAGGACGCTGAGGAGGAGGCAGGGCCGACTGGTTTTCCGGCGGTTGGGGTTGTGATATCGGATCGGAAAATAAAGTTACCAGGTTTCCAGGAGTTGATGACCTCAATTTGGAAACCTATTAAAGGTATGACTATCAAGGAAATCGACGACAAAAGGTACATGTTAATTTTTAATCATGTCTTGGATATGAAGCGTGTGATTGAGGAAGGTCCCTGGCTCTTTGAGCGTGATTTGATATTACTAAAAGCTGTTCAGCCTGATGATATACGTGAATCAATGAATCTGTATGAGGCTAGTTTCTGGGTATAGGTTCATAATGCTCCTATAAAATATAGGAATTTGAGATCTGCTAGGAGAATTGATAATTTTTTGGGTTCATTTATAAAATTTGAGATGAGCCCATTTGATGGAAGACAGGCTTCTTATTTGCGAATTAGGGTTTCTTTGGATGTTCGTCAACCTTTGAAAAAAGGTACCAATTTGACACAGGATGGAGTTAAACACTGGGTAGATTTTAAGTATGAGAAACTACCCAGCTTTTGTTTCATCTGTGGCATTATTGGCCATTCTGATAAATTCTGCCCGTTGAAGTATGAGGAGGGATTTGTCGCTGAGAAGACATATGGAGTGGAGCTTCGAGCTGGAGGAAGGGTGAAGACCTACAGGATCTTACAAATGGACATCTGCAGGAGCTTCTAGTTCAGAAGGGTATGGGGACCAGTGGAAATCTGAATCTGGAGGAGAGTACTCGGCGGAGTCCAAGGGCATGAAACCGGCATTGTTTGAGAGCATTGAAGAGGAAGAGATGCCTGGGGAGCTTAAACGCAGGAGGACCGGGGATGTTCAACCCGGGAAAGGTGCCACTGGTGAAGATATGGTCATGGAGAGGGCAAAAAACTGAGAGGAGGCAGGTCTGGTTCCCTAGACCCGCCGTGGCTGCAGTGGAGGGCGGTGGGAAAGAAAACTAGCTTTGGCATCTTTATTTTCTTCTATTTTGATTTATTTTACCCGAATTGCTCTGTTATGTTTTTCTGTTATGCGTTTATTCCTTGTAAGATTTTCGCATTAAGGTTGGGGGAGGAAGAGGCTGCGGTAACCGTCATTAGCTCTTTGATGCCCAAAATTGGTCTAGCGAGTTATACTGCTTTTGCACAGGTGGTTAGCTCTCAATCTCGGCCACGGGCGGATGGTTATTTGTGGTTCTTTTCTAGTTTTATCCTCTTGCTGAATGCCATTTTTATGAATTAAGCCTTCTTCGAGCAAAAAAAAAAACAACTCGAATCAAATTTAATATTCTTATTTGTATTTGAATTTTCCGAATTCGAATCGTCTTATACGAATTCGAATCGCGAATCGAGCACAAATTATTTGATTCGTTTGCAACTCTAGATAAGACAATGGGAATTTAGGGTGAGTACTCAAGCCATAAGCCTCTTCAATCGAAACATCTTCTGGCTTCATAGCTCCAGGTAATTTCCAATTAAACCCATGCAACAAATTTGCCAACGTTGCCTGCACAACCTTCAATCCTAGGCTATAACCGGGGCACATTCTCGTGCCTCAAGTGGCACAACCTTCAATGTCACTCCCCAAAAAACCTCTCTGGTAAGTGTTTGGTCTATTGGAACAGGGGCGGACCGTAGTACAGACCCAGGGGGGCGGTCGCCCCCCCCCCCCCCCAACAACACAATTTTTTAGTGTGTATATATAATAAAAAATAATTTTCGTCCTCCCAAAAAATATTTTGTTTAAGTTACCGTCCTCCCAAGACAAACTAGCTTCTTGGGTCCGCCCCTGTATTGGAAGGAACCCAAAGTATTGGGAGGGACCAGAGCCAAAGGTTGTGTACCCCTAGAAGCAGGTTGGATATGACTGTTTGATCGTCCAAAACGGATGACTTAAATTTTATTTTGATCGGCAAAACGGATGACTTAAATTGATATCACAACATTCAAATAGGGGGTAAAACGACAAAAGGAGCACAAACAACCGATCACCTCCAAAAAAGTAATATAACTCGATGATCTTATAATGGGCATAAATGAGCCAACGACGGTTAAACCAGACCCCCCATCACCCAATCCAGATGCAAGAGTATTACAACAATAAAAGTAACTAACAGAAAAATAAACAGTTTGATCATGAAAAATATATAGCAAGCAAAAAGTAAAATTAAAATAATGCTTCCACACCCTAAACTCTCCTGCACTCCATGGCGGTGATTCAGGACGGGGACGATCCAACAGTACTGTAGCATCTTTCGCTCCTTGCCTCCGGTCCAGATCTGTCCCAGCCTCTAGCCTCACGCTTCGTCCATGACCTTCTGATCTCAACCATGAATGACATCCTCGACACTCTTCACGTGCTTCTAAGGGTACACAATTTTTTGGCTGCCATATAGGAGCTGCGGTCTGCTGAAGAAGAGAGTCTCACGAAAGGCGAACGAAATCCGCACAAGGAAGCCGCACTTCGTCGAAGACGAAAGCGGAGAAAAACGATCACTAAACCTAGGGGAGACGGATGCCTGTTAGGCAAGAGAAGATTGAAAATTTGATTTCGTTCGTATACAAGAGTTAACATTATTGATAGTTTGAATTGTTACATTCTCCTCATCTTAATTATTATAAAGTTTATCCAATAATACAATGAGGTATAGACTTAGTAGAGATGGGTGAGAAGCCTTGGTTCAATGAGGTAAGACAGTTGAAATTTGGGGTGAGTGGTCAAGCCATAGACCTCTTCCATAGACACATCTTCTGGCTTCATACCTCCTGATAATTTCCAATTAAACCCATGCAACAAATTTGCCAACGTTGCCTGCACAACCTTCAATCCCAAGTTGTAGCCGGGGCACATTCTCCTGCCTGATCCAAATGGCAAAATTGAAAAATCGTTTCCTTTTACGTCAATATCACTCCCCAAAAACCTCTCTGGTAGGAACTGCTCGGCTCTCTCCCAATACTCTGGGTTCCTTCCAATAGACCAAACATTAACCAAAGAAATTGTCCCTTTTGTTACCTCGTAACCGTCGAGGTTGCAATCTTCCATGGAATAACGTGGAAGCAGTGTGCCCACTGGATGCAACCTGAATGTTTCCTTAATGATGGATTCAATGTATGGTAAGTGTGCAATGTCTTTTTCTTCCACCCATCTCTCCCTCCCAATAACTCTGTCTAGCTCTTCTTTGGCCTTTTCCATTACATTTGGTTTCCTGGCCATTTCTTGAAAAGCCCATTCCAATGATCCCGTTGATGTATCTGTGCCGCCAGAAACAACATCCTACCCAATGCGTGCAATATGAAAAATTGTTATAAAAGCTTAACGGAAGACAAATGTGGATTGTATATTTTCAAGTCTCAACACTTGTATACGGAATCTCTATTACTCGTATATAAACTAGTATGCACAGAAAGCAATTCACATATTATACATGTGTATGTATGTGTGAGTTTATATACAAAAGATCATTTTGATCTTAGTCACTCTCATATTTTAACTGATAATTAACTTTCATTCAAATATAGGCACTTGCTTAGGGAGTGTTTGCAACTGCTTAAAAAAAGCACTTCTCAGCTTTTTGTTTTAAAAAGCACTTATTTACCAAACACTACCAATTTTTACTTTTTCTCGGCTTGCGTGTGAAAAGTGCTTTTCCCTTTTCTATTACACAAAAAACACTTATTTTACCAAACACTACCAACTTTTACTTTTCAAAATCACTTTTTTCTCAAACACTATCAACTTTTACTACCAATCACTTTTTCCTTACTTCTCCAAAAGTGCTTTTTTTTAAGTAGAAGCAATTGCAAACACTCCCTTATTCAAGTCGATCATAAGATCTTCTTTTGAACAATAATTTTATTCACGTAATGATGAAAGATAAGAAATTACCGCATATGAGAGATACTACCTCCGTCCCAAATTGATTTGCAAATTTGACTTTTCTTTGTCAAACAGTTTCATTTTATTCGTTTAATTAGGATGCCAATTTTTTATTATATTCTAATTTGGAGTTTATAACTTTGAAGAGATTTTAAAGAAGTTTCTGAATATATAGATTTTACTTATTAAAAATTGAATTAATTATCAATACGGAGCATTGACTTTTACTATTGATTGACCGAAAAATGTTGACTTTGCAAAACAATCTGGGACGGAGGGAGTAAATAAGAGATAAATTTTATAAGAAAATTACTAAGTGGACCGATGATTCCTGAATAGTTTTTTATTTCTAAACTAATTTTGTTTAGCATGTATGTTATGTGTATTAATTCTATTTTAAAGTTTCACACTGAATATCTCTAAAAGAATTAAACACTATAGATGTATGTTTTGGCTTGCTACTTTTGCGTTTAAAACTGTTCGACGAGTTGTACTCAATTAGTTTTTTAATATATTCAATGTCATTTTATTGTTATGTAAGAGTGTCATTTAAGAATTGTGTTTTTATTGTAATTAGTCATTAAATTTAGGGAAAATGGAAACTAACAATCCAACCTTTTAGTGGTCTTCTTACAATAGTCCCACCTTTTGATTATTCATGAATAATCCAACCTTTGCACCTCATCTTCATTCACTGGTCTCTGACCGGTTGATGACCTACTATTCCAAGTTATTTTCTTATCTTTGCAAACCATTATACCATAAATCTCACCTTTCACAATATGACCTACATAAAAAACAATATGTATGGGGCCCATTTTATGAAAATTGACTCAGACTCGAGTTTAGGTAGGATCGGTACTGTCTACATTTTACTTGCACTACAGTGTTTTTAGGGAGAATTCTCCAAAATAGCACTAAATGGAACTTTAATAGTCAGAATAAAATCATAACTTAAAATATCCCTAAATAGGCTTAGTTTTTCAATTCTACCTTTGCTTTGTTTTAATACAATTCATATTTCATTAATAATTAAAATATAAAATTAATAACATAACTTTTATAATAAAAATGTAAAAAATAAAAAAGACCAAATAAATATTAAATAAAATTAATTTAAAAAATCGAAAAATAAAAATATTATAAAATAAAAAACCTAAAAAATTAAAATAAAATAAATAAATAATGAAAAAGTATATAAAAATATGAAGGTCTATGTTAATTGCCACCTCACCAATCTCTCAGCACCAGCGACTCCGATCACCAGTAAAAAATGCCAACATCTGTCAGAAACGTCATCTTGACGGGAGTTTTCAAAGAGTAAAAATGTCTTTATCATGGCATTTTTCTGAGAAAAAATGTCAGTTTTTACACAAAATGGAATTTTTAAAGGTGTTTTATCTGCTTTTTATTTATTTTTAAATTTTTTTATTATTTAAAAAAATTATTTTTTATTATTTTAGTATTTTGTTAAAATATTATCGAATTTATATATATATATATTTAAGATTTTTTTAAAAGTCAAATAAGGTTATTTATTTTTTGTATTTATTACAAATTAAAATATGATTATCCTGTTGATAAAATATGCTTAAATGCTATTTTGACGGGATAAATAAGATAGCCACAGAATTCAAAAAAAAAAAAAAGATACGCACATGTATTAAGCCCATGATGCGATGACGGGTGAGAGCAACCTCGGACTCTTCAACATTTGGATCATCAGCTCGCTGCAGAAAAACATCAATCAATCCATTGGGCACAAAATCCTTTCCGGCGGCTTTCATCAACGCCCTATGCTCCTCAATCACCGGGTCCAGAAACTGCTCGTACTCCTCGCTAAAACCTTTCACTCTTTTCTCACAGCCTTGCAGGTCAAAGGGGCGCAGCCAGGGAACCCAATCCCCAAGATTGCTGACCAACCCGCCGAGTCGAAAAAATTCTTCCACAAGCTCATTCAGCCTCTTCATATCGATCGGCGTAGTTCTCAATTCCCTCCCGTCCCCTGTTTTGCAAGATTTCTTGTGATCTGAAAGTAGTCTTGCTGAAATGGAACCAGTCAGTTTTGACAGGTGGTCTCGAAGCAGGACCGGTTTACTCGCCGCTGCCTCCTCGTAAAGGCGGGAAACAAGAGATATTCTTTCCTCGACCCGGACGTACTCGAGCGAGTCAATCTTCCGAGTCACGCCGAGTTCAGCGCTTAGAATCCTCCGGCCCTGGCGGAGCCAGGGCCCGTAAGGAGACCAGAACAGTGCGCCGCCTTCAAAAAGGCGCGCACCTAGGGCGGGCGTGTGGCGAGAGGCGAAAACGGCGTCGTGGGTTTTCAAGACAAGTTTGGCTGTTTTGGGAGAGGACGCGACTAAAACAGGGGTGGAACCTAAGTTTAAGAGCATCAGCTCTCCGTATTTTTGGGACAGAGAGTCTAAGGATTGGTGTGGGATGGAGCCGAGGAGGTTCAGATTTCCTGTGATTGGCCATGGCTTTGGACCGGGCGGAGTTTTCCGTTTTCGTGGCTGTCTTTGATTTATTATGAAGAGAAAGGCTATTGTGGCCAGAAGCCATGAAAAGGCCGCCTGCTGCTGAACAACGGAAGCCAGGAAATACTCATAATTATAGGTCATGACTGAGAATTGAAAATGATGGATGGATGGATGGTCAATTGGCCCTTGAAATGTGAACTTTGGAAATGCTATTTATAAGAAATGCTACTTCTCATGACTCATGAGCTCTTAGCACACCGACGGAACAATTAATGGAATATGTAATTAGACTTTAATCACAGATTGAAAGATAGCGAGTTGGGATTAGAGCCAAGTAATTGAATTGTAGGTACACATTTTTACATAGCAATCTCCAATTGCAATTGGCAGGATTCGAATCAAGACTTACTCCTTGGATTTCACCGGCCTGAATACATAGCGGCATGCATATAGCAAGCAGGATGCTACCTACCTTGCCTACTAGTTTGCCCAACATATGATTCATTTCTGCAAAAAAGTGTCCTTGTTTCCATCTTGATGATGAGGTGCATTGTTCTATATCGATTGACAAATTCAGGCATGTATCATTCAAGTAATCCTGAACTATACCACAAATTATATTGTGGCATCATTGTTTTGTGAAATATGGATCCTAGAATGATACAACCAAGAACCTAATATTTAAAATTTAATGAATAGGGCTAGCTATTTGTGATAGAATAAAAATACTCTTATAGAGTTGTCGGTCCGTGCCAGAGTTTGTAGCCGCCGCCAAAGGACTGATACCGGAGTACCGGTTATGAAAAAACTAGGAGAAAATTAATTATACTTTGTTCGTCCCGCAAAACTTAGTGTGGAGGAGTGATCTCATATTATTATTATTTCCCCTCATTTTTTTCTTCTTCTTATTTTTTATTGTTTTATCCTTATATATAAAAACATTATTTTTATCCTTTTTATTTTATCATTTTTAAGTATATTCATCCCATTTTATATTATCTTTTTTATAATAGCTTATTATTTTTTAATCTTTATTTTCTTTCTTTTTCTTTTGGTGGTGATATCATGTATTGATTCATGTTAGCCGACCTCAATATCTTTTGGGACTAAGGATTGAATGTTGTTGTTGTTGTAGTGATGGTCAAGTTTGATCTAAAATAATTGTTAGTTTAACATTACGCTAGTGTCACAAAGACTCCCACCTACGGTGCGGTAATTAAGGGGGAGTCAGATGCACGCAACTTTGTCTCTGTACTAAAGCCCAGAGAAACAATTTCCGAATGACCTATAATAAAGAAGCGATGAGTCATTTTGTTTTATTTCATCATATTTATAAACCAAAAAATATTGAGTCTTTGGCCTCATTAGAAATGATGGAATGTGGTATAAAATTACTCTGTTTAAAATATGAAAATAATATAAGAAACTGTTTTTTGTTAAAAATCTTTGACAAAAGTATAAAGTTAAAATATAAGGGCCTGTTTACTAACAGAAATATTTTCCAGTTTTCCAGAAAACTGGAAAACTGGAAAACAGAAAACAGGAAACGTGTTTACCAAAGAAATTCCTGGAAAACAGGAGAAAGGAAAAAAGAAAAACGCGTTTACCAAATCGTTTTTCAAAACGGAAAAAATGAAACATGTCTCTCTTTTCCTTAATGATTTGGAGAAGTAGTGACTTTTACTAGTTTTCCAAATTTGGAAAACGCAGATGCTACAGTGCCTTTGCAATGAATTTGCATACTTACACCTAGTGGTGGGTCCGGTCCTGCTCCGATGTCGATTCCATTCCGGTACCTCCATCCTCGTACCTTACCCCTTACCCCTAACCTACCCTACCCTACCCACCCAACCCCGACCCCGTGTACCCATTTTTCCCTATAATGACCTTACCCCACCCCCCACCACATGCCCCGACCTCGGCCCCACCCCGATCCACCCTACCCTACCGCCACCCCCCTACCACCTCGACCCCACCTCGATCCACCCTACCCTACCGCCACCCCCTACCACCTCGACCCCACCCCGACCCACCCTACCCTACCCCCCACCCCTCGTATATTACCACTTACCCCAACCTTACCCCTTACCACATGCCTCCTACCTCGGCCCCACCCCACCGCCATCCTACCCCCACCCTCGTACCGCCATCCTACCCCCACCCTACCCTACCTTGACCCCACCCGGATTCCGAGCCCACCCTACCGCCATCCTATCCCAACTCCCTACCCTACCCATACCTTACCCCAACCCCAAACCCTACCCACTACCCCCACCCTTACTGCCATCCTACCCCCACCCTTACCGCCATCCTACCCCGGACCCTGGTCCCGACCCCACCCTACCGCCATCCTATCCCAACTCCCTACCCTACCCCTACCTTACCCCAACCCTACCCACTACCCCACCCTTAACCCTAACCACGACCCTAACCCACCCATTACCCCCACCCAACCCCCTACCCCTAGACCTTACCACCCCACCCCGACCATACCCCTTACGCCACCCCCACCTATAACTTCCCTACCCCGACCCCTACGAGTAGGTATGGGTGGGTATGAAGGGTTGTGGTGGAGTATGGGTAGAGTGTAAGATCGTGGTAAGGGTAGAGGTAGGGGTCAAGGGTGTGAAATTGGAGAACTGTGTGAAAATTTTGATGAACATTTTTTCAAATTTGAAAATGGAAAACTAAAAAATAGAAACAGAAAATTGGAGATAGAAAAACTGAAAAATAAAAACAGAAAATTGGAGAACGAAAAATAGAAGTAGAAAACAGGAAAATATCTCTGTTAGTAAACAGGCCCTAAGTTTCACACATATATAATACCTAAAAGTATTATCCAAATTGAGGCCCCAAAAGTCATACCTTGAGCCAAAGTAGCATAAGAAACGAGCATAGAATTATCTACCGGGTGGTTCCTAATGGTCCCAGTCGGTTGTGGCATGAACAACCCAGGACTGTCGGACAGTGTGGGACCAGCGAATCGTGCTCGAGCCGCACCGGCAGCACTCGTCTCGGCTTGCGATTAAGCTGTAAACAGCGGCGGCATGTGTAACGGAGGCGGCTGCAGCGTTGGTGGCGTCAGAGTCCATGTAAAAATAGGTGGCACCCACGAAGAAGAAAGCGGCGAGATCGGAACATCATCGGTGATGATGGACATATGCGGCGGCGCTGAGGAGGCGTGGTGCATTTGTTGAGCCGCGCTCAAAACCGGCGTCTCAACCGCCGTGGTTAACCCGGCGGTGGCGGTTATTGTTTCGGCGGCAGCGGCGGTCGTGGTTGGAGAAGCCATCGAAAAATTAAAATGGCTAAAAACCTAGAGCTCTCGATACCATGTGAGAATAATGGGAAGGCTTATCAATGTGTTAGCCCTAGGTGTCATGTACTCCGTATATAATAAAATATGCCCTAAATACATTAGGAAACTTAATAAAGATGGAAACCTAATTATTGAGTATTAATTACACTATTATCTCCGATCCTCCTTCTCTAAAAATCCAATGACTTCCTAAAAAGGAAATGGATTGCCGGCACCACCATAAATGCCGGAAACATCATCTACATCTCAATGGCTCGTACTACCACTCACAAGGGCACCCACCTAGGGGTGGTTCGGTACGGTATACCAAATATTTTAGCTCATACCTTTACCATATCGTAAATTTTTGGTTTTCAAAAATACATACCGTTACCATACCGAAATTTCGGTATACCTTGTTTCGATATACTGAAATTTCAGTACGGTAAGGTACGGTATCGGTAAATTATCATGATTTAACATAACAAATTATTATATGTCAAATAAAATATAAAAAACATGTGTTAATAATGATATACTAAAATCATCAATGAAATTAATTGTAAATTACCAATGATAACCTGTTGGTGTTCTATTCAACTTTGAACAAAAAATATTATAAATATATTTAGATATTTCGACACATAATATATGAAGATAACATCACATTCTACTAAAATAATTTAAACAACATAAATATAATTAAAAAACACCGCTTGCCAACAAAAAGTATAAATAATTCAAGAAACATGGATATAAAGTCATTTATCCTTGAATTAATGTTGTGTTTCTAGTTATTTTTATAATTTTAAAGAAATTATTGGCTTGGAATTACGGTATGACGGTATACCGGTATACCGTTTATTTTCAAAATATATATCAATACCATACCGAAGTAATTCGGTACGGTATCATACCGTACCGAAAGTGCCGGTATACCAATCATTTTAGTAAATTCGGTATTTTTCAATATGATAAGTCCGGTATGCCGAAATTTCGTTATCTTTCCCCACCTCTACACCGGCTACTATTAATGGAACAACCGAACAACGACGGGCAAAACGGACACTACTACGACTGCAAAAGCGAAGGCCAAAACGCACAACATTGGTATTCTTATCCTCAATCCAGTTTGGGAAATAGCCCCAAATAGGACTAAATTATTACTAAAATTCCTAAATAGGAGTAATATAATTTTATTCCCAAAATAGGATCATTCTTCCAATGTTACCCCTATTTCAACCCATTTGCAGCTCATAACCTCGGTAAGATTGTACTCCTCTGATTTTATTCGCACGCTCATAACCAAGCCGCAACTTTGTGCGCAACAGAGGCTAGCTTCAACGGCGAGTGGTGGTGGCGAGGAACGGCAACAAGCCCCGGCGAGAGGCGACGGCGTTCGACGGCGTGCGACGGCGAGGAGCGGCAGCGTGCGTGAGTTCTACCTCTTCCTCCGTTTCTTTTCTCTTCTTTACCTCCGATCTGCATCTGTATTTTCTCTTTGCTTCTTCTTCTTCCTCATTTGGGTTTTTAATTGCTTTGTGTTGGTCAATGATGGTTGATATCTGCCGTGGTTTACTTGGCTTCTGGGAGGATACCAATGGTTCGAATAAATGCTACTCCGTATTTGATTGTTACAATTGCCATTTGTTTTGAAAATGCCATTAAAATGGCATTCTTATTCTTTAAAATTTTCATATTTTTCTTTGAAAATTCCATTAAAATGGCATTTTAATTTCATGTTGGCATTTTGGTCAAAAAGTTGTCATCAACAATGGCGTCCCTCAGATCTGCAATAGCAGTGGCCAGATCTGCGGCGGCAGCAGCAGCGGCGATCGGAGGTGGCCGGCGGCGGTCGAAGGCGGCTGGGCAGGCTATGTATCGCTGAGAGTATTTTGTCTTTGAGGGTATTATTGTCCAGATTTTTTAACTTTAGTCCTATTTTGGCAATTTAAAATTTAATTACTCCTATTTAGGTAAATCCCCCCTCCAGTTTCTTGGAAAGCAGAGTCACGACGCAGAATCTGACTCCACCCAAAACAGGTATTTTCAATTTTAGATGTATCACTACGAATAACCTAGCTAACAGGATGCGAACGCCTGCCTATGAGC